GGGGGGGTATGAAATTTCCCTTTCCGTCCTCCTCATCGAGGACGGCGCCGTGCGCAGCGTCCCGATGTCGGCGGTGTTGAACAAAACTGGTCCACGCGTGGATCTTCGTGAGCCTGACACCCCTGCCCTCACCGCACGATCCCTCCGCGATGATGAGGATGACAGATGTAACAGAGATAGCAGGGACAACCGATGTGACAGGGATGACCGAAGTAACAGGGACAACCGGTGTAACAGGTATGAAGGGGATTTCCTCGACCTCGACGACGATGGCGAGACCTCCCCGGAACGGCCGCGCTTCTCGCGCGCGGGCGGGAGCTTCCGTCTGTCGGATGCGCTCTCGTGGAGTGGGAGCTTCGAAGAGAAGCCCTCGCCGGACACCCCGGGGGGGGGCTCTTGGACGGGGTGGGAGAAGGAGGAGGGGGAGGGGGGAGCGGGGGGTCCCTCCCTTTTGAACGGGCGGGCGCTCTCTTTGGACTCCGACGCGATCGTCTCGAACCAGACCCTCCGCCTCTTCAACGCGCAGTTCCGGCGGAAGGGCGGGGCCATCTCCCCCGCCTTTCCCCGTGCCTATGCGGTCTTCCACTACCTCGTCCAGGTCTTCGCAGTGCTGAATGTGTGCCGGCACACCGCGGACGACGTCGCAAACTTCGGACGGGCAGTGATCGGGCTCTGCGGGGAGATCCAGCGGGTGGTGGAGGGGGAGCCCCGGCATGGGGCCATGCCCGCGCCCTGTTATGTCTTCGGCGACCTCCACGGCAACTTCCGTGACCTCTTCTACTTCATGGACAACCTGATCTCTTTCCAGGACCTGCGATACACCCCGCACAACTTTCTCTTCCTGGGCGATTATGTCGACCGCGGGGAGTTTAGCGTCGAGGTCCTCGCGCTCGTTTTCGCGATGAAAGCGATGGCCCCAGAGAAGGTGCTGCTTTTGCGCGGCAATCACGAGGACTCTCGGGTGAGCGGCGACGTCGCCGGCTACGGTGGGAGTAGTTTTCGCGCGCAATGCCATGCTCTCCTCGGCGCTTCCCTCGGGGAGGCGTTGTGGGATTCCGCTAGCGACGTCTTCGCCTGGCTCCCCCTTACCGCGAGTCTGGACGGGCGGATTTTCTGTGCGCACGGCGGGCCCCCACGCTACGCCGGCGGCCTCGATGACCGCATGGAGCTCTTGAGCAGGCCTGACTTCCCCCCGATGCGGAGTTTCTTTGACATCCCTCCGGGCGAATCCTCCGCGCGCCGGCGGTTCCGCCAGGTCGGGATGGACACCTGCTGGGCCGACCCCGCCGAGGACGAGTCCGGGCTCGACGCGTATGGCTTCGGCGCGAACCCGCGGGGCTCTGGCGTCATCCTCTTCGGCAGCCGCGCCGTCGACGACTTCCTCGACCACTTTCACTACGACCTCATCTTCCGTGCCCACCAGGAGAAGAGCGATGGGCTCAAACTCAGCAAAAACGCTCGTGTTTTCACCATCTTTAGCACCAGCGCTTACGTCGGCCACCACAACGGTGCCGGCGTTGTCCTCGTCGCCGATAATAAAATTCGGATGATCGTGAAGGCCGCTGATAACTACCCCGCGGATCCGGACGAAAAGAACACCCCCCGGCCAGGT